GTTTTCAAAAGCCTAATGCCCCAGCCACACTGGCAAGATCCAGTTGAAGGAAAGTCCCTACGCTGCTTCCAAGCACCAGCGCTTTGCCAGGACTCCTTGGGTTATCCATTATTACCGCAGCCCGGTTGAACGGACACCTCTGCGTCCCCACACGCCATTCTCTTCTCAAAAGCCAGGTGGAAGTGGTACAGTTCTTTTAGAATTTGTGCTGGCAGGTCTTCTTGTGTTTTACTGGAAAAGCCTCCAAAGGGAAAAAACAATAAAAAGGCAGTAGGAGCAAGTCATTTCCCATGTTCATTCTAAAAAAACAGTTGTCTGGCTAGCACGTGGGCTGTCACCTGTGAGTCCCAGCACTTGTTGGGAGGCCAAGGGCCAGAGGAACTGCTTGAGCCCAGGAGTTCAAGGCCAGCCTGGGCAACATTAGCAAGGACCGTGTCTTTACAATATATTTGTTTGTTATTAACCAGGACAGAGTGCCGTGTGTCTCAGCTCGTTTGGGAAGGCTAAGGAGGGAGGATCAGCTTGAGGCCATGGAGGTTGAAGGCTGCAGTGAGAGCTTATGAGTCACACCACTGCACTCCAGCCTGGAGGGTGACAGAGTGAGACGCTGTCTCCTCTCTTTTTTTTTTTTTTTGAGAGGGAGAGTCGTCGCTGCGTCACCCAGGGGTGGAGGTGCGAGTGAGCGTGATCTTGGCTCACTGCAACCTCCGCCTTCCGGGTTCAAGCGATTCTTGTGCCTCAGCCTCCCAAGTAGCTGGGATTACAGGCATGCACCACCACATCCGGCCAATTTTTGTATTTTTAGTAGGAGACGGGGTTTCACCATGTTGGCCAGGCTGGTCTCAAACTCCTGACCTCAAGTGATCCTCCCTCCTCGACCTCCCAAAGTGTTGGGATTATAGGCATGAGCCACCACATCCGGCTAACCCTGCCTCTTAAAAAGAGAAAAAAGGTCAGGCATGGTGGCTCACGCCTGTAATGCCAGGCCGAGGAGGGTGGATCAGGAGGTCAGGAGTGTAAGATCAGCCTGACCAACATGGTGAAACCCTGTCTCTACCAAAAATACAAAAATTAGCCTGGCGTGGTGGTGCTTGCCTGTAATCCCAGCTACTCGGGAGGCTGAGGCAAGAGAATCGCTTGCACCCTGGAGGCGGAGATTGCAGTGACCCCAGATTGCGCCATTGCACTCCAGCCTGGGTGACAGAGTGAGACTCTGTCTAAAAAAAAAAAAAAAAAAAGAATAAAGAAAAGAAAAAAGAAAAAAAGTTTTCAAGTCCCTAATATTTTCCAGGCACTGGGAATACAAACATGAAAAATACATGAGTGTCCCCCACAACAAAGTCGAACAAAGACACTTCCTCAGGGGACAGAAGTATACACAGCATTGTGATAGGTGCTATGGCAGAGAACAGCTCCATGGCATCCAGTAGTCACCTCTAAACCCGAGGTGGGGAGGAGGCCAGAAGCCTTCCCAGAAAGTAGGCCCTTTCCAGCTTCGCCATCTTCATCTCCACCTGACTTTGGCCTCCCATAGACGGCCAAGCCTACTTCCTGGATCTAGCTTGAGTTAAACGGTTTTGCCTCACAAATCTCAAATTCTCAAATCTGTCTGAGCTCACCATGAATTATAAAGCCTTTTATAATTCATGTGACAACTCGTGCCATGAGCTGTGGCTCCTGTCTCCCTTTCTGGCCTCAACTCTTGCCATTTGCCACGGGACCCTACGGTCCAGCCTCCGGCTTCTGGGCCCTGTGTATTCTGCTGTCCTCCCAGGAGGATACCTCCAGGACCAGCACGGAGCAGGGCTCAGGAAACTGAGCAGGGTGGAGGAAACTGAACCAGTGCCTGGGATGAAGAAGGCGAGGGCGTGTGCAGGAATCACCATAGCTCAGGTAGCCTGAGGCCAGTGCGCCTAGGACGGGGAGGGGTCTCCTTTAGTGTCAGCATCTCCCGGAGAGCTGTCCCCACGGCCACAGACGTCCCCGGGGCGCCAGGCCCTGCTCTAAGCTGGGACTCAGCCGACTCAGACAAGGGCCCTGTCCTCTCGCCCCATCTCATCCTGGAGAAGAGTACCCTCTTCTCAGAACAAGCATGTCACTTCCTTGCACTTTAACTTCGTTTGCCGCAGTGCAGGGTACTTTACAAAGCTATAAAGGAGTTTATCCTGGTGCAAAGGGAGACTCTTTTTCCTTACAGGATTTGCTTTAGAAAACTTGTAATCACAAGTTCTTTTTGAGATATACGTAAATTTTTTTAAAGCTAAATATTTTCCCCCAGTTTTACAACTCAAGAATGTATTTTCTCAAGGACTTGAGAGTCCTCTCTTTGAAATGTCATCCCCGTCTCCCAGTTCCGTGGGAGGGTAGGAGTCCAGCTACCAGAGAGCCCCTGGCTTCAAATTGTAAACCTACCTCCTGTAGTAAAGATATGAAAAATTCATTTTTCCTTTGGATAAAGGCAATTAGCAAACGCAAATGGCCACTGCATTTACTAATGGCCACTCCATCATCAGGCGAATTTAAGATGAATTCTGTGACAAATGGTGCAGTGGAGTCCCCTCTCCGGAGGGCTGTCTCGTTTACCTCGGGAGCATGTGTGGGGTAGGTGGCATCCTCCCGGCTGTTTGATACAGGCTGAGATTTCTGTCATTGGAGCCTATTTGCGGATTGCTTGTGATGCACATCACATGCTGGTTTAATGTTTGTTCAAGACCCAAACTGCAGTGGAGTTTTGAGGGTTGACAGGTTCGTTTTTCATCACACGTCCCCGACAGTAGAAACCGGCGTAGCTGGACAGGGCCTTGGGAGAATTTGGACAGTGGGAATAAAGACGAGCGTCGCCTCCTACGCCCGCCGCATCTGCAGCAAGCGCGCACCGTGAACCTCCGGGTAGCAGCGCAGGTCTCGGGCTGCGCCACAGCCGCGCCCGCAAAGCTATTTTTAGCCGCCGCAGCCTGCCCGGCCACCAGACTGGGTGGGCGGCACCCAAAAGCGCCCCGCCCATCGATGCCCCGCCCACGCCGCGCCGGTAGCTGCGCGGGTCGGAGCGCCCGGCCGGGATCCCAGAGCCCGCGCACTGCGCCGGCGGCAATGAAGATCTGGAGCTCGGAGCACGTGTTCGGGTGAGGCCTGGCTGAAGGCCGCGGTGGGGCCGCCCGGACGCCGGCTCCTGCTCCCGAGCCCGGCTGGAGCGGCCCGGGAAAGGCCGGACCTCACATTGGGCCTCGCGGAGTCCCCTGCCCTGCGCCGGCCGTTCCGAGACCGCGACCTCGGCGTCCCGGAGAGGGGCACGCGCCCTTCCCCGGGACCGCGGTCTGGGCGAGGCGCTGCGCCCGGTCCGGCCTCTCCCCCGGCATGCGCAGGGGCCTGGCTGCAGGCAGAGAGGCCCCGCTGGTGGTCCACGACCAGGGCGGGGGCAGCCGGAGCGGGGCGGCCGGAGCGGGGACGGCGGGGGCTGGGGCGGCCGGAGCCGGGGGAGGGGGCGGGGGCCTGGCGCTCGCTGCTCTCCTTTGGGTCGGGAGCCGGGCAGGGGAGAGGCCTGCAAGCTGGCGCCTTTGCTGAGATTGTCATAAATCTTCTGCGCGTTTCACTGAGGGCCCACGGCGGGCTGTGAGCTCTGGAGAAAGCTGAAGGGAAAGAAGGCATTTGGGGGGCCCTGGCCCTGAACTCACTTTTAGGCACGGAAGGCCTCCAAGCCAGCGTGGAAAACCCCGAACTTTAAAAGTGCCCCCCCGGCACACGGATGGAAGTAGAGATCATTATCTTAAGTGAAGCCAGGCCCAGAAAGACAAGTATCGTGTGTTCTCACTCCTAAGTGGGTGCTTAAGAATGTGTTCACATGGATGTAGAGAGTGAACATCAGACGATGGAGACTCTGAAGGGTGAGCGGGTGGGAACAGGGAGGATAATGAGAAATTGGTTAATGGGTGCAAGGCACCTTCCCGGCTAATGCATACCCTAGGAGCTCTGACTTGATTACTACGAAATCTATACATGTAACGAAATTGCACGTATACTCCATAAAATTGTGCAAATAAAAAGAAAAAAAAGTGCCCTCCTAACCTAAGTGGTATCTTAAGTCAGTGATCTATGACACACTGAAATTATTCTTTAATATTTGTTTACAGCAATAAAGATTTTTAAATTATCTGACCTCACTTAAGCATTAAGCATTTTATTTTTTGGGGAAAGAAAGTACTGCGTGGAAGGAAATTGTCATCCTTTGACTATTTTTTTATTTTTTTGAGACAGTCTCGCCCTGTCACCCAGGCTGGAGGGTTTTTTTTTTGGAAACGAGTCTTGCTGGGTAACCCAGGCTGGAGTGCAGTGGCACGATCTTGGCTCACTGTAACCTCCCCATCTCGGGTTCCGGTGATTTTCCTTCCTCAGCCTCCTAAGTAGCAGGGACTACAGGCATGGACCATTACGCCTGGCTAATTTTTGTATTTTTAGTAGAGATGGGGTTTTGCCATGTTGGCCAGGCTGGTCTCGAACTCCTGACCTCAGGTGATCCACCCGCCTCAGCCTCCCAAAGTGCTGGGATTATAGGTGTGAGCCACTGTGCCTGGCCTGACTTTAAACATGTAAAATTATTATAAAAATATATCAAGTGGTTTCAAAACCTCTGAAATTATTTTTCATGAAGTCTTTAGACTTGATCGGATCTACTTTTTTGTATGGCCTGCAGTGTTTCTCAAGTAGGGTTCCTTCAGCAACAAGGATGGGGCATCACTGAGCCGTCTGGATGCCGTGGACAGTTAAGTCGTTGCATACCAGGGGTGCCCAAGCGGTTGGGGCTCAGTTTTCTCATGGAATGGCTGGGGTCTGCCCTAGAGGTTTGTTAACTGTCTGTGGACAAGCACAAATGAATAGCCAGCTGTGAAAAATCACAGTTGATGCTTTTGAAAATTGTTGCAGCTGCTAACTCCCATTTATTTTTTAAGGTTTACTGAAGTACACTTTACATACCATAAGATTATACACATTTTAAGTGTATAATTCATTAAGTTTGACTAAGTGCGACCATCACACAGTCCTGTCTTAGAACACTTCCATCCTCCTACAGAGGTGCCCCATGGGCATTAGCTTCCCATTTTACCCCATTTTCACCCCTGCCCCAGGCACCCGGGAATCTGTTTTCTGTTTTATGAATTTGCCTTGTTGGGACGTTGCATGTAAATGTCATCCTGCAATATGGGGTGTTTTGTGTCTGGCTGCTTTCATTTCCCATGATCTTCTTGAGGCTCACCATGTGGTAGAGTGTCAGTATTTCATTTCTCCCATCATTCATTTTGTATTCCTGGCACCCCGCCAGGGCCTGGTGCTTAGCAGGTACTCAGAAGGGGTGAGGAATCTCACACGGAGATCAGATGCCCTTCCAGGACGGGGGCAGCTATCCACCAAAGGAATCCTGGTCATCTCTGGAGCTGCTGTGGACTAGGTGCTAATTCTCTGCCATAGACTTTTGAACTTAAAAGCAAAGGGCTGTAATGAAGCCTGACAAATGTGGAATGTGGCTGACTGAGGATGCTGTCATTGGCCTGTGGCTGGACGGGTTATGAATGATGTGGTACCATGAGGTGGCATAGCATCCAAATGACAGTACAAATTGGGAAGTCTGGCTTCCTGGCTGGACTTACTGTGTAGCTTTCCCCTTGTTTTGTCCATTGAAATCCCTGATTTTTTTTCCTTTGAGGATTATAGACCTTTCTGTTTCTTTCTATATTTTAAAAAAATGTTTGTTTTACTGTTAGGTGAACATTTGATTGGAAATTAATAAATTTCCTTTTTTTTTCCCTTTTTTTTTTGAGGCAGAATCTTGCCCTGTCACCCAGACTGGAGTGCAGTGGTGCGATCTTGGCTCACCGCAACCTCTGCCTCTCGGGTTCAAGCTATTCTTGTGCTTCAGCTTCCCAAGTAGCTCGGACCACAGGCGGGTGCCGCCACGCCGGGTGAATTTTTTGTATTTTTAGTAGAGATGGGGTTTCACCATATTGGCCAGGCTAGTCTCGAACTCCTGACCTCAAGTGATCCACCCACCTTGGCCTCCTGAAGTGCTGGGATTACAGTACTTTTGAAATGAAGAAATAATTAGGCACACTTTTGATCTTACCAAGTTTTCTTCCTGTGTCCACATCGAGAAGAAACTCTGCAGGCCCTGAGATCACTCACAGCAGACAGCAGTGTAAACACTCGGACAAAAACAGCCTGGAGAAAGCCCATGGATTAACGTGTGTTACCTAGACAGGGGAGAAAGTAGTTTAAATATAATTAAAAACATACGACCAAAGTATAGAAAGGGACATTTAAACATGAACAGGGTTTAAAATGTCTTCCTCCCTTGCTGGGCGCAGTGGCTCACGCCTGTAATCCCAGCACTTCGTGAGGCCGAGGCGGGTCGATCACCTGAGGTCAAGAGTTCGAGACCAGCCTTAACATGGAGAAGCCCCGTCTCTACTAAAAATACAAAATTAGCCAGGTGTGGTGGTGCATGCCTGTAATCCCAGCTACCTGGGAGGCTGAGGCAGCAGAATTGCTTGAACCTGGGAGGCAGAGGTTGCAGTGAGCCAAGATCGCGCCATTGCACTCCAGCCTGGGCAACAGGAGCGAAACTCCATCTCAAAAAAAAAAAAAAGGGCTAGGCGCAGTGGCTCATGCCTGTAATGCCAGCACTTTGGGAGGCTGAGGCGTGCGGATCACGAGGTCAGGAGTTCAAGACTAGCATGACCAACATGGTGAAATCCTGTCTCTACTAAAAATTCAAAAATTAGCCGGGCATGGTGGCATGCGCCTGTAAACCCAGCTACTCAGGAGGCTGAGGCAGGAGAATTGCTTGAACCCGGGAGGCGGGCGTTGCAGTGAGCCGAGATTGCACCATTGCACTCTAGCCTGGGTGACAGAGCAAGACTCTGTCTCAAAAAAAAAAAAGTTTTCCTCCCAGAATTGAATGAGGTTTCAGGCAGACCTGTAACAAAATAGTCAATAACAAAGCCCATCACAGATAGATTTCCAGCAGAGTTCAAGGCTGCACACACCTTTGATTCTTACAGCTGCCAGGAATGTCTGGCCATGCCCGTCTTAGGGCAGGACGGGCTTTGGGGCACGGGGAGTAATGCTTAAAGCAGGCTTGCCTTCCAGCCAGGAGCAAGGAAGAGAAATTGAACATTACAGATGAGTTGAAGCCTGCTCTTTCCCCTCCCCACTGCTGTTCCACTGTGTTTCCCTCCCAGCAGGTAGCCATGAGGATTCAGTTTGGTGGGCATCCTTCTGAGGCAGTCTGTGTTCCAGAGGTTCACTTTACTGCATCTGTGTATATGCATGTGTCATTATCACATGTGTCATATTGTCTTCTTTTCTTTCTCTTTTGAAATGGAGTCTCACACTGTCACCCAGGCTGGAGTGCAGTGGCAGGATCTCAGTTCATTGCAACCTCTGTCTCCCAGGTTCAAGCAGTTCTCCTGCCTCAGTCTCCCGAGTAGCTGGGATTACAAGCACCTGC